TACATACTCCAAATTTCCTATAATATATATATAATATATAAATATATATATATATATATATATATATAATATATTATATTATATATTTGAGATTTTAAGTAAATTAAACTCATTAGTTACACATCATCCATATACATGTATTAATTCCAAACTCTCTTAGTTGTAGTTTTAAAGTATTTTTAGCCAACAAATTGTTTTTGGATGGATTAAGGCGTCTCAATAAAAATCTCATATTTCACCTAACAAATACAGTAGAAACTCAAAAATACCAGTGGATTCAATTCCAAATCGAACTCATTTTGGCGTTTTTCTTTCACGAGTACATCATTTTCTCTAGACCAAGGTCTCGTAGGGTTGCATAAAAATATATTGTAGGTGGAACATAACTAATTATTGGCGTGTGCATGTGTTCATTCCACATAGATTAGAAATTTTTCTGCGTGGAATGTGAGCCAAAACAACTAAGACCATTACAATCGTTTGGTATTAGTTCGGTTGGAGATAGATCTCTAGGACTAAGGTTCGTTAAAACTCATACACACCTATTAATTACCGCAATATATATAGATGTGATTAAAACTATATCTTTTTAATTGATAGTTTAAAATCCTAAACTACAGATCAAGGAGTTGCTTAAATTATATTATACTCACATTAAAATGCATTTAATTAATATTAAATAATTTTTGAAGAATACTGTCCGGGATTAGGTAGAGCTGCATCTGCTTTGCTCAGATCTAATTGAGTGTGTTCCCCTCGGCAATTTATTAGTCCTTGTTTTATATTAGCTGTATGAATCATTCCTGGACAAAGTAAAGTCTTTTCAAAAGAGCCATGATAATAAAGCTATATAAAAGCTTAATATATCTTAAAATATTGACAATCATTTATTTATTGTCTATTCAACTATACAATTTTTTATCTTGACTATTGAACAATAGGTTTCATTCTTTTTTTAATGATATTACTTTTAATTATTTATTTGAAATACACTAGATATAGAATTTGTTTTTTATTAGAAATTTTAAATTATATTACAAAATTTTAATGTTGAAGGTATATAATATATAATTTTTAAAATTGTTTTAGTGTTTTAAACATATATAAAATATTTATTTTAAATTAAGTTAATAGTATATTTTTTATTTAATTTAGAGATTAAGTTTATAATGTATGTTACATAATTTATTATATTTATATCTTAAATAATTATTTATATAATATTTATACATTAAATTATATTTAAATATTATTAATATTAATTTTAAAAATAAAATATATTTTTTGTCATATGCTTAATATAATTGCGTTTGTGTAAGTAAATATTAAAGTTTCTATGTACATAAAAGTGGTGTATATATAAATTTTATTTTAAAAAAGATTAAGATATTTAGATATTAGATATATTTATATATAAATATAAGAGAATTTAATATAAATTAATTAATTTTAATTAAAACTTATACAATATCAAAATATGTTTTCAATTGTGCCCCGAGAAATGAGGTATTAAACAAGCTTGCATGATGCCGACATGGTGTTGTGAAAATGCGGTGCAGACTGCGCAGGGCTATGCGGGGTGCGGTGTAGCGACTCACAGCCGAAGTGTGCCAGAGGCTTGCGGAACTTGCTGCGAGCGGGTGGCGCGTGCCTCCGGGAACCTTCGAAATCGAGATCTGTTCGGGCCTTGCTACGCCCAACATGACCACCACGCAAACCCACAAATGCCATAGTATTTCTCTCCCCCTCTCTTCTCTTCTTTCTGTTTTTTCCTTCTACTTTTTTTTTTCTGTTCGGGGGGCTAATAAAAGTTATGGTTTGTGTGAAAGGGGAAGACAGTCATCATGTGTTTGTTGTTTGTTGGTATGATTATAATATCTATTTTGTACAAAAATGTGGCGTTTAAATAGGTTGTGCTTGTCGTTCTACTTTGTGCAGTTTTTTTTTTTCCCTTCTTTGTTTTTTTTCAAGGTGTTTATGCTTTCTTATTTTTTTATTAAAAATTACTTTTTTTATTATATTTTTGAAATATTTAACTATTTAAGTTCAAACAAAAACAACATCAAAAGAGATCACATAGAAAAATTTTGAATTCATATCTCTAATTAGTAGTCAAACATTTAATCTTACGTAGTATTTTTATCATAATTTCTATTATAGTTTTTTAAGGGGGAAATTTTGGTAATTTTTTTGAAAAAAAAACTACATCTATGTGGATATTAATTTTTTGTTGATTTTTTTCCTGTTATAAAAGAATCAAAGTTGTGTCAAAAGAAGATTAGGGTTCCTTTAGGCAGCTTTTCATGGGAATGTTTTTAGGACAACTTCCAAATTGTGTTTGGCTATTGGTTTTCAAAATCTGAAGCTTTAACATATATTGTGGTGGTATTTACAGGAAAGTTATTGTCCAATTTTTCTGAACCTTTAAAAAATTTAGGATACATAAGGGTAGCTTTGTCGTTGTTTTTGCTTTATAATTGCTACTATATTTTTAGTTGGCTATGATATTTTTTGTCATTTTTATAACTTTTTATGATCGATGGAAGTAATATATATATCAATCAATTAGAAAGTTTTGTTATCTAATTTTTTAAATGTGCATAATAATAAAAAATGGCAAATTCCTCATAATTAAAATTTAAATTTTTTTTACAACTAAGTAGCAGCCGTTTAACGATGGGCCTTCAACATTTTGTTTTGGATGGCTGTAGCTATATTTTTTTTTTTAATAGTTTCTAGAATTATTGTGGGATTAATAGTTTTTTTTTTTAGTTTCGCACCTATTTGAAAAAAAAGCTTTCACCAATTGGAAAAATAATTGCTGAGAAAATTGTTAAAAATGAGCCCTTAGTAATACCTTATTATTAATCTTTACAAAAAATTACTTTTGTCATAAAAACTTGATAGTAATTTATAAATTTAGTGCCATCATAAAAAATTGGCTGCTACCTAAAAATAGATAAGTTGTCCTCTTTCCCATTACCATGAGTTTGGTCTCATGCAGCTCCTACATATTTTCCGAGCATGATAACTTAATGCTTCTTATCTTATACTAAAGGTTGTTTTCCTTATATCTATGTTCCCTGTATATCAAGCCACTGCATTGGGCTTACCCATACCTAACCCCACTCATCGTACCCAACGCCATACCCATGGTATGGGTGGGTATAGTACGCCCATGACCTTCTGGGTGGGTAGCTAAATATCAAGAATAAAATCGATTACATTGATTGAATCACTCGTAATAACTTACTTAACTACTACTAAATCACATTACTATTGTGTAGGCACTTACCCACACTATGATAGATAAATTTTGATATGCGACTTGAAATGTTTGCACATCATAGCAAATGACAAACAGCCTCAAGGCCATACTCAGTGTAGACCTGCGTTCAAAAAACCATGGATAAGTGGGTGGTATAAGGTGGATACGAAATCCGGAGTCACCATAGGTGGGTGTGGGTGGCCGAAGCTTGTCCGACTAAAAAATGGGTACAATGGTATCCAAACCAGGAGCCTCATGTAGACTTTGCTGTATATGTTATTTTTCATTATTATTTCTGAATTTTAGAGCTTTTGTAGAGCAGATAATAATTCTGCTCCATTTTAACTCCACTTGTCATCTTATTACGTAGCAAACTGCTTTCACATGACATCAATTATGCCTGATAATTAAGCGCAAAACAGCCTATCATATCTAAGTATCTTAAAATAAGAAAAAGTCGCTATCTCTCCGAACATATCAAAATAGTCAAAGGCAGGTGTCCTTTAACACGCAAGGCTTTAGAACTGTCTGCATGGCTGCCGACCTTCAGCCTTATTATCCGTGAGGGTTAGTCAACATGTTAACAATTCATTAAAAATTAATTGCAGATGTCTGTCTGCATTAAGACTTGTACAACTCATTGATTTAAACATAAAAACTGGCAATAAGGCAACAGCCTGTTCTGTAGCCTGAGGTAACTAAATGTTGAATAATAAGCCTACAGGAGCAAACAATGGGCATCAGAAAACAAATACATATTTTGCTCTATGGGATGTATCAGTTGTTGCAAGTAATTTCAGAGGCTCCCTTCTTAATTATGGAGCAAATTTAGGTTCTTTGGGACGGACTTTACTTAGGCTGCTTCTTTAAAACTAGTTTTCTTAGGTGTATAAAATTTTAATTTTTATAACTGAAAATTGTTTTAAGAAGCTAATAAAAAAAGCCGTTTCCAAATCACGAAGCTAGTCATTAAAGTTTAAATAAATTTGAAGTGATTTAAAACAACTTCTAACTATAATGATCAACTATGTGAGAATGGATTTTTTTTTTTCATGAATAACACTAAAAAGGATTGAACTTTTATTCGTCTTGTCCTCACAAAGACGTACTATTACAGTTCCCACCAGTAGAATCGCGTCACAACAGTTCTCACTATTTACCGCGCGCCCCGACAACCCCGACCTGGAACGAACCCAGGATTGCTCGGTATTTTTCGATTTAATTAGGTATTGCTAGTATTGTGTTTTGCTCGCAATAAACCCAATGCCGAGCCAATTACCGAGCAAACACCGAGCAAATATCGAGTTAATACCCGAGTCTGTACATAGTTTTTCTAGAAAAACTCAGTTATAACTTGTATGCTCGGTATTACTGCGGTTTGTGGTCTTCACAGACGGTATTTCTCGATTTATTGTCAAGCAATGCTAGCATACCGAGCAGAATAACTGAGTTGTACCGAGTTTTTCCTGCCAAACCTGAACAGTAGCATTCCCGAGTTCCGGACCGGGCAAGTCGTCAGGGCTACGCGGTAAAGAGCAAGAGGCACGTGACGACCATTTATTGGCGGCCGAACGGAGTAGCTCTACGTCCGGTCAGAGACGTAATAATTGTTCAAAAAGGATAGAATGAAAAATAGATATATTAAAGAATGATGAAAGTACATCTTATGATTAGAAAAGGAAAAATAGAATAAAATTGTGTTACCATGTACACAGAATTATGCCAAAAGAGTTGCACAAACTAGGGCTTAACAAAAGAATAATCAAGCTTTGATCATGCCAGATGATGGCCATTAACCTTGGGCTTACTCATAAAACAAGTCAATATAACCATTTTGTCTTCTCTTTTTACTCTTCAAATTTATGCTTTCCAACGCTGCCATTACTGTATTCAGTTCAAAGGTTAAAATGCTTGAAAAATAATTATAAACATCAGCTTTCCTTACGATTAAAAATTTTAGGCAGCACAGCTCTTTTTTTTTTGTGAGCTAGTTCTACTTACTTCCCCTTTTTGTTCTATATTAGTTGTATTAAAACAACTATAATGTTTCAAGTTCATAAAAGAAGATGAGCGACTCTCACCTAATAGTTTTCTATGTTTGTCTATTCATTCAATGACGTTAAAACAAACGAATCAAAAGGAAGCAGCTTTGTATATCTATTAATGAAACAGTTTACAAGTTTGATCAAAACATCAGCTTTCCCTTATCCATGGTGTTTAAGAGTTCATCCTTTGAAGTTCACTGCAAAATATGCATCTTTATCTTTCTAACTTGTCAAAAAACCCTTTTTTTATCAGTCTTATGGAGGTTAGTGATAAAATTTCAAGGTCAAATCAAATAAAAATAAGGTAACAAACCTATTAAATGTCTCAAAACACAAGACACAAATTTTTATGATTCAATAGGAATCTCTCAATGGTCTAATGATTCTGAGAGATCAATATTATTTATTAAGTTTCAAAATAGAATATGGAGACATTACACTTTATATAAATAAAGATAAAATAATAACTTTATTTGTATTAGTAGGCTGAGAGAAAATATAAACATCTATTATGTAACAGTTCCAAGAAGAGGTCACGTTTTATCCTGTTGGTGTAACTTTAGTAGGTCACTCATCCTGAATTGCTCTGGGATGAGCACGCTTAACTAGAGTTCTTACGAAAAATTCAGCCTTACACCAAAAAGCGCCCATCGATGTTTAAGAATTATTTTCTTTTACTTAAGGGGTTTCACATATTATGAATGAGGGTTGAACGAAAGATGAAGACGTTGATACTACGTCTAGGGTGCAAAAGGAACTGATTGAGCAACTTTGTGGGTATTTGAGCTGAGCACCTTTGCAAGTCTTATTCGAGCCCGATATGTGCTTGATTAGAGCTTTTATAAATATTCAATTTATTTTAAATTCATGCTTATTCGAGATTGGTTTAAGATGAACCAAAGTATCATCACATAGCCTATAGCCTAAATTAATCTCATGTGACCTATGGTTACAAGCTCGGCCTCTTCTAAAAAATGAGAAGCCATAGAGCTTTATTCTTTATTGTTCTATGAACAGTACTACTCTATAGTAAACAGATTTATAAAGATGGTTATATATAAAAAAAAAAAATTTAATGATATGAATATCAAGGATTTATAGTATTCCAACACAGACAAGAGATCAATTTATTAAGGATGACATATACACTTAATGGTTAATATAGCTTAATTAGTTTTATAATTATTATCTAGCCATAATATGAGTATTATATAAGTATGTAATCGGTAGTCGGGTCGGTGAACCGAAATGGGACCAGTCGGTTACGACCACAAAAGTCGCATTCTGAGA